AAAAATGGCAACTTGGGGGGAAAAAAACCCTGAAAGAAGAAAATAAGGAAATTAAAAATTAGGAAGAAGAAAGGTATTTTTCTGTCATTTTGATTTAGCAAATAATTATTCTTTACTGTTTTCCAGTGTTTCTTCACTTTTGGTGACTTTTATATATTACATTAAAACTAAGATGCTGAGTCAAAATAGTTTCAGTTTTATTCAAACACTGCAACTCATTTATACTACCTATATAGTGCATCAAGTCTGGGGCTTCTAATCCCAGAGGCGTTTCTTGACTACATACTATGGTTCAAGCACTGCATGAAGATGAATAAAACATTATGTCCTGAGCTTAGACGCTAATGCATTAGTAAGGATGCTCTCAGAGGAATGAGGAATATTTTGCCCAGAGTTTTAAGAGACATCATCCTAGCTTAGAATTTCTTTTCATAAAGATGGTGGTGGTGGTAGTACTGGTTTTTAGGAAAAAATAACTCAGCTAGGTAAAGGTGAAAGTTATAAAGTGTGGCTACAGTTTAAAATTATTATTTTGTGTGCGCCTGAAATTCTTTATTTTTGATAAATGTTACCCAATAATAGTCAAAGTAATTGCACAGTAGGGTCTGTCTTATTCATTTGATATTTTTAGTGCCTTACATATTTCCTGGCACATTGTAGTGGTTAGGTAAATGTGTTCGATGGATGAGTGAATAAAAGCCATTTTTCACTTTGAAATTAAAACTTTGAATTACTTGAGTATACAACTTTTTTCCTTTAAAATTATCTATATCATAAAACTAAGGCTGAATTTTTGCCTTAAAAATAAAAGTGACATTTTACATAAAACAGTGGGGAATTATTTAAGTGATTGTAAATTTTCTGAAGTAGGTCTTCAATAATTCCTTAACTAGGTCTTTGATCATTTTGAAATCTCCATGGTGTAAATAAATGGCCAGTGTCTCTAAATCATAGCGTTGTACAAGGCTAATTGAAATGCCCTGAAATGTTTTGTAACATTCAATGTCAACAGTAGAAACACTACTGATTCCTAGCTCTGGCTTTTTATTGATCAATTTTGATTCTTTTGTCCAAATCCCATTTTAAACCAATTAATTTAGAGGTGATGACTTCAAAATTGCCTCCATTTTCAATGAATAAGAGTCAGTGTTGTGGTAGATTGTTAAATCTCTTGGAGGTTTATTAGAAAGATGATACTGGAATTAGAACCATACATTCTTTCTCTTACTGGACGTACATGGTATCTTTCCCAAGCAAATGCGTAAGAATCCACTGTTTAGAGGGTTGGGCAATAAGAAAATCTGAGACTTGTGTTTTGCTGCCATAATGCTTAGCTGGGATGTCATGTACAGTCATGAGATGACGGAAGTACTTCACAGGGCAGTTTCTACTGAAATACTGCTGGTCTTTCCTGAGACCTTGAAAGAAGAATAAGATTTTGGTAGATGGAGAATAGGTGGGGAAGATGTTTTGGTTATGGAAGCAGCGGCCTGTGTGACAGTTAGTAGCTGGGGAGGGTCAGCATGTTGTGAATGTGGACAGGTTTGAAGAGTGCGGCGTAAGATGGGAAGATGTTTGCCACCCTCAGACATTGAGACACTTGAAAATTGATGCCTTTAAGGTTGAGATCACACACGCACACAATTGACATCAGTAACATTGTGGAATTTTCAGAGTTTGGTCTAGTTCAACTCACATTTTACAGATGAGGGAACACACTATGTGAGGCCGCTTAAGTACTTAGTGGCTGAATAGGACTCGTTGGTGATGATTGTTTTTATGTTTTGTTTGTACTGAACAGCATATGGTTTATTAATTTTTGTTTTTCAGAATTTATTTGGCAGCTTGCTTAGCCTCTCAGACCCATCCTGTTGGGAGAGCTTATACCAGCATTATTGTGCTAGATGCTGCTAACGAGAGGGAGGTATCAAATGACCTAAATATGTGCCTACCAAGTTATGCATGATGCCCATAGTTACCAGGCTGAAGGGCTGAATGAATAGCAAGAGCCTAACCCTCAGCAAGTCTATTCGAGGCTGAATTGGACGTTATGAGGCAATGATGTTTAAAAAGAAAGGACACTTCATATACAGAACAACCACTGGAACCTTAAACTCTCCTGATCTAGGCCAAGTGGCATATTTGAGCTCTTACACATTTTGGCCATGTGCCTCTAAATTCGTGCTAAATTTATATACCATATTTCCGCTCTCACTGATGCTCAAATTTAAATTTGTCAGTGATGTAACTGGATTTTTGCGAATTAGAAAGTACCTCAACTGGTTTTAAAAACTGGGAAAGCGTTTTTAGGCTAAAAGTAAAAGTGAAGTTTGTGATATTGTTATGAAATACAATTCTTGGCATGTGGGAAGTCCTCAAATATTTCTTGAAGAATGATCTGGATCAAAAAGGACTTGTGGAAATGGTATTTTTGATCCTGCCACTGTTTTGATTCAGTAATTAAAAAGAATACTTATGATGCAGGCAGGGTGATGTCTGTTTTAAAAATAGGTCACATGTGGCACAAATTAAAATTCTATTTACACATCCATTTATAGCTGTCTTTAACTACATCCCTTGCAAGATAGGCCATTGAAAAAGTGGTTCAACTCTTAATATGTATGTATATTTTAATAACTTCAAGATCAAGGATCTGCTAATGAGCTCACGTTTGGATTACATTTGAGTTGTATGTCTGAATTCACCTGCCACTGATACATCTCAAAAGAAGTACGTTTATATGATCTGAGCAGTACTGTCTTTTCCTATTTCTCTTTCTTCACCTTTATAAAATGGAAGTTGTAACTCTGGACATTATTCCTTTGGGCACTGGAAGGATGCATTAAATGATTTTAAGTACTCTTCCCCCCATCCCCCCATCCCCCCACCCCCACACGGAGAAAAATACGGCTTCTTAAACCCCAAGTAGAAGACTGTGTTCAATCGTTAGCATTTTAGTATTCTTGAAATTGAAGTAACTAACTTGCTTTTGACCTATTTCACAAAGAAGACAAATGACTTTTTCAGAATTTAACAAGAGATGGAAAGAGTGGGGTGGCTTTTGAGTTTAGTCTTTCAATCCATCCACTAGGTGTCTCTTTCCTCCATTCATAAATGAATATATTTCAATTAGATTTGCTGCTATCAAGAACAATTTGGATCTGGGTTATAGGAACAACACATTTCACTTTCCCATTTAAAGGATGCCATCCTCAGCAATATACCTTTGACTTCAGTAAAAACGAAATGTTCCTTAGGCTGTTTCAGTAATGCACAGTGTGATTTATTCTGCAGTATCGGTTTGTTAACATTCACTATGCTAAATACTGTTCAAGATGCAGGAGCATTATAGCAAAACAGAAATGGTGTTCTTTTCTGAGACTTTAAGGGTAGGCCTTGTACATTTTCTCTTTAGTGATGTAGATCATTGGAAAGATGCCAAGTTAATTGCAAAATCAACAAAGAAATCTAAGGTCAGTTTCATCTCAAGTTACAAAGACATGATTTGATAATTGTCTTTAATTCATGCAGGTTTGCGACACCCATCAACTTAAGTTCCACATGTGTCTAAGGTTAATATATAAAGGGTAAATGAAGGTTTCTTACCCAGAAAAAAGTTCAGAACTACGTCCATTTTGCAACATGTGATCAAGAGCTCCTTGAGTGGTGTGTTTTACATATCAAACTGAACCTTAGGTGACAGGGTGGATTGGTTTGGCCAGTTGCTCTTTGTATTTTAGCATAGAATTAACCATAGGTGTCCTGATCCTGAGATCCTTGAGCTTTGGCTTCGGAGAGGATTGTGTTTTCGGTTTTATATTCCAGAGTATATTTATTCAGGATATATATACCCTCTTCTGTTCTATAATTTAAATTGGTTATTTCCCACAGAAAATCTCAACTTTTTTTTTTTTTTAACGGTATGCGGGCCTCTCACTGTTGTGGCCTCTCCCGTTGCGGAGCACAGGCTCCGGACGCGCAGGCTCAGCGGCCACGGCTCATGGGCCCAGCCGCTCCGCGGCATGTGGGATCTTCCCGGACCGGGGCACGAACCCGTGTCCCCTGCATCGGCAGGCGGACTCTCAACCACTGCGCCACCAGGGAAGCCCCTCAACTTTTTTTTTTTAACTGACCGAAGTCATAAAATTATAACAAGAACCGAGAATTTATGGTGTTCTGAGACCAGGGCTTGTGTGCCCTACGTCACCTACGTTCTTGGCTAGATCATTTCCCATTCCCAAGCAGCTTTCCTGCTTGGGCCCTTTATATTCTCAAAATGAGCAACAATAGCAGGAGGAAGTGATGAAAGTTCTTTAAGTAAGTGGCCTTGGGCCATTTTAGCCTAAGTAGCAAAGAAATGAACTGAAGTTATACTTTATCAAAGAAGCAAGCATTTTTATTTCCTCTATGTGCTGTTACATTGTCCTAGAGCTGCCTCATAAAACCTGCCAAGTGGACTCAAATAGCACAAGCCTAGAGCTAACAAAGAGTCACCTTTAAGAATGTCTCCCCTCCCCCTCGCCTCTTATCCTTGGGTAGGATTAGACAGAAAGAAAAGGCTGATTACTGTTCCCATTCATAAAACGAGCAAGATCTGAAAGATGCCAGTTTGAAAGTATAGAATTCACATGAGCAGGATTTACACACAAGGCTAATCCGAGTCATAGCTGCCTGTTTCCTTTGAGAGTTCCTTTTGTAGGTGCAACTTTGCTGAATGGATTCGTACTGAAATCCCGTTAAATGATTGTTTCTTCCAGCTGAGGAAGAATGGCCTGCCTTCAGTTTTGCAAGTGGGGAGGTCTTTGGGTTGTTGAAGAGCTCCCCGACCTACCGCTTGCCTCGACCCAATCTTCGTTTTGCTTGGGCTTGGTGTGCCGTTTTGATGAACTTGAAATATTGCTATTTCTTTCTTTTTTGCGGTACGCGGGCCTCTCACTGTTGTGGCCTCTCCCGCTGCGGAGCACAGGCTCCGGACGCGCAGGCTCAGCGGCCATGGCTCACGGGCCCAGCCGCTCCGCGGCACGTGGGATCTTCCCGGACCGGGGCACGAACCCGCGTCCCCTGCATCGGCAGGCCGACTCTCAACCACTGTGCCACCAGGGAGGCCCCGCTATTTCTTGATAATCAAATTCAGTTCAAAGAATATTTCTGAGCCTCCATCACGTAGGAGGCACTGTGCTAGGACCTTGGTGGGGATACAGGGGCACTTCGCAGTTACAGCTTAACTTGGAGACAGCCCTGAACATTACTAATGAAATGCAGCACAGTGTGTGTTTCAGGTTGTAATGGGGGCCGAGAAAGCAAAAATTAGCTCAGACTGAGAAACTATAAATCTGCATTGTCCTTCATGAGGCACAGATAAAGCCAGCTGCAGAGTTAACGGGAAACAGTATTTCTCCCATGGACATGCTGCAGCCATGATGTGTCATAGCAACTCTCTTCAAGTGACTGCTGCTTTTTTACTCACTGAGAAACTCTGTTTTCTAAATATCATAGACTATCAGAAATTTTGCTATTTGAAATTATATAAGATGAAATATCCCCCTTTTATGTAATTCACTTTGATACAAAAGTTGCCTTGGCTTGCAAATGAGGGACAGAGCTTCAAACAAGGGTTTGGGAGCACAGCACTGAACATATCAACTTTTGTTTCCAAGGATACAGAACCCTAGGTCCAATTTGTTGTTCAAACCTGATGTTCAGGCCTTTACACAGCGCCCTGCCTTGCTCTGAGCCTATCACAATGTTGATTTATTTAAATTTCACCCTTCCGCCCAAATTGGTAATTTCCGCATTTCCTCCATGTGCAGTACATGTGCAGGTACTTTCATAGCAATGGATATTGTCAGACTATTGACTTTGTCAGACTATTGGTTTGCTTCTGGAAGCCTTAGGCTGATTGGGCTAGGACAGATGTCCACTTTGACAATTCTCAATTTAGCATTAAATCTATGTGTAATGTATTTACATAATACATATGTTGCATATATCCATGTATCCTGTTTTTTCACTTTTAACGGTGTTGTGTGTAGATAATTTTTCTTCCACAAAGTAATATCTCTTCCTGGAGGCTGGCGTCTGTGCTTAAAATTCCATCTGATTTTTTTTTCTCAGTGTCTTGACCAGCATTGTGCATACAGTACATGTTCGATAAACACTTTCCACAAAGAAGCTTCACATCTTAGCTATTTCTTTGAGACTTTCTCCAAGTTTGAAACCTAACAGACTGTGGTATCCTCTTCCTCACAATTCTACCTCTGCTTAATAAAGTGCAAGTTACCCAGGCAATGAGGCGCGGTGCAGTTGAAGCTTTTTATAGCTCCATCTGTCTGCAGTCACCTAAATGTCAGTGGATAGATGTATTTGTCATAATGTGCAGTAAGTGCAAATAAGCCCCCCGTTAGTAGTATCACTAGAGATAAAATAGATTGACAGGAACTCAGAGGTGATAAACTGTCAGATTGCACTCTAAGGAAATACAGCATGTCATTGGTAGCTGAAAATGTGCAGAAGTAAACGCACAATTCCTCACTCCAACCTGATTTGTTTTCAAACCTTTGCGTATTTACTTTTGTTCATCCACCACTTTGGTTGAAATAAACCATTAATTAAAAACAGCTCAGGAAAACCACTGATGACGTTAATAGATCTCAACACAGCAGCAGCAAAACAGTCTCAATTCACCGAACTGCCTTCCAGGCGGGCCTTGCCCTTTCTGTAGAGGATGGTGGAGAAGCAAAAGTCTCTGGTTCTCAGGGGCTGCTGGGGGATCGGTGTCGCTGATCATCTTATGCCTAAAGTAATGCTTTTCCTTGAAACTTAGGTATGCAGGGATTCATAAAACCAGCAGAAGTAGGAAGTAACAGAGAATGCCTTTTGAGTAACCAGGAAGGATTTGGTAAAAGCCCACACGCTGCATAATCCGTGCTCCTTCCTCATGGTTGTGCCCCTTAGTTCATGTTTGCCTGACACGCGGTCCTGAAAGCTCTCTGTTCCAGTGTTTGCTCCCTAATGAATGTCAGTATATTAGATTCTGAGCTAGTGACAAGGGACTTACCTGTGTTCCTGTCCTCACATTCCTCTGGATGTACTAAATGGTTTGATTAAGCCTGATCACTTCAGTGATGAACACTGGAACGGTTTTATTTTCCTCCACAGAACGCGCGTGAAGGAAGCTGGGGAGAGTCAGTCGCAATGTCTGCTGTTATGTTCCTCAGGATCCGCTGTTTTGTGGTCTGGTTGTGTTATTAAAATTGCAGTCTCAAGTCATTTCAAAACCCGTCCTTTACCTCAGCTCAGATTGGCCAGGGCTGCCCCAGCAACTTGACGCTAAGACGTCCATGCACCTTCCACGTTGCCAAAGCAGACATCCAACTGGAGGATACGATGCAGACATCTCCAAACATCAGGAAACATTCTCTTAGAGCCGGTCCCCCAGCCTGGGTGAGAGTCTGGGGACAAACTGAACACGTCCCTTTCTCTTTGCGAAGGAGAGAAAGAAGCCACGTTCTCAAGAAGAAAACTGAGGTGGTAACCTGCTCCCCGTCTCCAGCTGTCTTTATCCCGTCTTTGTCCCCGCCAGGCTGACAACCAGTGCTTTACAGACCACTGTCTTCTGCGGCTCCTGATGGAGTTTCCCATAATGCTGAACCAAATGATGCTGAGATGCTGAACCAAACATCTCCAGGATGCTGTTCTTCCTGGCTGGCTCTCTCTCTACACTGAGTCCCGAGTCCTGCCGTCTCCAGTATCACTCCAGCAGTGGGTTTTATTTTCAGGACCACATGTGTTGCCGGAGATACTCTGACCTGTCTTGAGCTCATCTTCTGAGATTTGGCAGGAAGAATCGACACACGTCAGCAAGGCCTGAATGCACCGTGTATGTGAAAGATAATGAACATTCCCAGTCATGATCCTAAGCCTTGGTTTTGATCATTTTTCCACAGATTCAATTCTGTTCAATAAATATTAAATAGTTGAAAAAAGAAAGTGTTTAAAGGAGTATATTTTTTGCTACCTGGAAAACGTTGACAACTAGGTAAAAATATAACTACCAGTTATATATATTACTACCAGTAATATAACTACTATAATTCCCTGGCAGTCCAGTGGTTAGGACTCTGTGCTTTCACTGCTGAGGGCACAGGTTCAATCCCTGGTTGGGGAACTAAGATCCAGCAAGCTGTGCAGTGTGGCCAAATTAAAAAAAAAAATACAAAACAAAATAAAAAACTACTATCTATTGAACACCTACTCTGTGCTAGGCAGTGTTTTCGATACTTCACACTTAATCCCATGAATTGGGCATCACTAAGTCCATTTACAGAGGAGAAAAATGAAGCTGAGTACGGATGAAAGATTTGACCAAGGCAGAATCCATTTGGATACATGTAACAGAAAAATCCAACTCAAATGGATTAACTAAATAAATAAGAACGCAATCTTGTATTGAAGCAGTCTATAGGTAGGTCACTCCAGGATTGATTAATCTGATAATCCACTGACCTCATCAGGGACCCTGTTTTCCCTATCTTTCTGCCGTGCCAGTCTCAGCACGGGAGGCTCTGTGTTTGGGCTGTCTCTTCCCATGGTTGACAGTGAACGGTTGCTTTTTCAGGTCTCCTGTCCGGACATAATCACGTCCAGCAGCAGAAGAGACTTCTCTTCCTGGATGATCTTTTTTAAGAAAATGGGCAATCTCCTACACGCCTCCCAGAAGAGTTCTCCTTACGTCTCCACGGTCAGAATTACAACATATGTCCATGCTAAATTGAGTGGATTTCAGTGTCTGGCTGAGTGAGAGCAAGCGGAAGAGTGTATCTTACTGAGATAAATCGGCTGCTTGGAATGGGTGTGTGTGCACGTGTTGGATTGTGGGATACACAGCTCCCCTCAGAGCAGAGCAGGGATTCATCCCTAAGCCTGGGCTTGTCTCACGCATTCCCCAAACTCACATGTGCATAAACGTTTACTGTGTGTGGCTATTATGAAAAATGTGAATGGAACAGATCCCAATGTTTGAGAGATTTACACTTGTGATTATATTTGGGTTAGGTAAGTATTAACATGTGTTCACTTTCTCTGAATATTGGCCAAATGGTGTGTGGAGCAACTATGGTCTTGAAGAGTGTGACGTCCTAGCAACAGGACAACTTAGCTCCTCTGACCGGTGTTTTAGTCTCTTCTTACATAGCATCCCTTTCACTCTCTCCTGACGGAGGAGTAGTTGTGGCTAATGAGTTTGGGAAGGCAGACAGATTGAAGAGGCCCTTGAATCTCAGGCCAACGGATATAGACTTTTGTTTTCTCTAAGGAATATGGAGTCATTGAAGACTTCAGCCAGAAAATGACCCCCAACTGTGATTTAGGAAGATTAATTTATCAGGGTGGATGGGAGGAATTGATTGAGAGAAAAGTCAGAGGTCTTTCCCTTTGTAGGAGGTATGACTCTCAGTCCATCAAGTCTAGTGTACACGAAACACCCATTTCTTTCTTTCAGGTTGAGTTTTCTGATAGGGATAATAGGAAATTCAGTCTCTATCGTTGTTTGGCACTCCTGCCTTCCCAAGGACGCTCTCAAATCTTGAAACTTAATGAGATACCTGAGAGGCTTGGGAAGGACCCCTACCCTCCACTCCATCATGGCTGCACTGACATCTGTAAAGTTGAGTGGCCTCCTGTGGTGTAGGGTATGGGAAGCTTTCCTAAGTCTAGGATCCTTGGAGTCCAAGGTCCAGGTTCCCTGAAGACCACACAGCCCTCTCCTCTGAGTGGTGTTTCCTCTTCAGGGTGCTACCATCAGAAGTACTCGGGTAACTCCTCCCATCACCCTTTCCCAACCTCTGACCTCTTTTTAAATTTTATTTATTTTTGGCTGCACCGGCTCTTCATTGCTGCGCGTGGGCTTTCTCTAGTTGCGGCGAGCGGGGGCTACTCTTTGTTATGGTGCGTGGGCTTCATTGCGGTGGCTTCTCTTGTTGTGGAGCACGGGTTTTAGGTGCGTGGGCTTCAGTAGTTGTGGTACGTGGGCTCAGTAGTTGTGGCGCATGGGCTCACTTGCTCCGCAGCATGTGGGATCTTCCCGGACCAGGGCTCGAACCCGTGTCCCCTGCATTGGCAGACGGATTCTTAACCACTGCGCCCTCTGACATCTTATTAAACTTTGCAATCAGTGGAATTTGTAGACTTCATGTGTAGAATTTGATGTGTTTGGATAAATGGAATAGCCATATAACCACAGCCCAACCAAGATCTAGAACATTCCTCTCACTCAAGAAAGCTCCCTTTTGCCCCCTTCCTCTCAATCCTCCCCCCTACCCCAAGGCAGCCACTCTACTGAGTGCTGTCCCTATCAATTAGTGCACATGTTCTAGAATTTACTATAAATAGAATCCTTCGGCTTTCACTCAACATTGTATATATGAGACTCCTCCACACGGTTGTGTATATCAATATTCATTTTTGGTGCTCAGTATTACCTTTATATTGTTGCATAGTGTTCCACTTCTTTCATCTCGTAAGTCTTTCCCTGTCTCTCCTCCTCTTTCCTTAAAAGCATCTCCTTTGTCCCCTCGTTGCCCTCAAAGGCATTAAGTGCGCTTTCTCCAATAAAAGCCAGAAAGGATTTTATGAGAGGCAAGGATGCACCAAGTGTTCAGCTGTCTTCATGGAATGGAGGAGGGAAATGACAACATGAAAACACACAAATTAATCTCAGGAAGTTAGCCCACCACTTAATTCTCCAGAAGAGAGAAAATGCAGGCCTGAGTTAGCGTGGAGTGTGCGAACAGGGTCAAGAGAGTGGGTATGAGAAAGCTGGTTCAGAGCGGCTGTCGATGGAGTTCAGTGAATCCTGAGACCCAGGCAGAGGTGGAGGAAAGACCGTGCTGGGCCTGGGTCAGGGGTGAGGAGGGATGTTGGTGCCGACAGCAGAGACAGGAATAGAGCAGGTTTAGGCTGGAAAGTGATGGTACCTGTCGATTGTGAGGGGTGTACGGAAGGGAACAACGGAAATGTCCATGAGGCAGGTGGAAACAGAGAGCTCTAGGTCAGTAGCACCTTCAGAACTGAAGATGAAGATCAAGAGTTATGGACAAAGAGGTGAATGCTGAAACCTTGAAAAAGGAAAGTTAAAGGAGAGAGACAAAGGCAAGGACAGGGCTTTGGAGAATGCCACACAGGGGGCTGGAGGAGGAAGAGGAGTCAGAGGAGGAAGGAGTGGTGGTCACGGTATTAGCATGAGAGTCGTGGAGAGTGCAGTGTCTTGGGCATCAGGAGGCAGAGGACATTAAGGAAATCGCTGGCAGGAATGCCAAAAGCTGTAGAGTTGACCAAGACGAAGGCTGAAGAAAAGGTCATTACATTTCCCAACTGGAAGATCACTGGTGGCTTTTGAGGGATCAACCTCAGAAGAGAAATGGGAATTGCAGCAGGTTGCAAGGTGCTGTGGCGTAGGAGAGGGTCCTGAGACAGACCTAATGATTCTTTTTTTTGTGTGTGTGCTACGCGGGCCTCTCACTGCTGTGGCCTCTCCCGTCGCGGAGCACAGGCTCCGGATGCGCAGGCTCAGCGGCCATGGCTCACGGGCCCAGCCGCTCCGCGGCATGTGGGATCTTCCCGGACCGGGGCACGAACCTGTGTCCCCTGCATCGGCAGGCGGACTCTCAACCACTGCGCCACCAGGGAAGCCCAGACCTAATGATTCTTAACAGCTTTTTTCAAGAAGTGTGCACCTAAAGGAGTGAAAAAGGGTTCCATGTAGCAGATTGGTGGAAGGAGGGGAGAGAGGACAGGTTGGGTGGGCTTGTTTATCCCAGGAAGTGGGGAGCATGCCCAAGGGCTGGGCAAAGGAGGCATGGTGAGAGAGTCGTTTAATGGTTTCTGATTCAAGTTCCCAGAAGAGGTAAGAGCTGGTGGGATGGAAAGTGACAGGGGGCAGGTTAACCCTGGAAAAGTGATGGGTCAGTCCTCTTCCTGGAAAGAGAGGAGAGGATGGGTGGGACACTCCTGGCTGAGGACGGCACAGCCCCAGCTCCAGTGGCTTGTCCTCAGCATAACATGGCTCCTTCAGGGATTTTTTGTTCTATTTACTCTGAACGTGTGAAGTTGATAAAACGTCCCGCTTAGGGTTCAGGAGGTTGGATATCAGCACAGCATATAGAGGAGGCCTCTCCCAACTGCCCAAGGCTAGACGGTAGCGATCAGTCTCCCAAGAGTCAGTCTGTAGCCCCTCTATCGTGTTGTGGCAGAGATCGCAGCAAACCCTAGGTTAGGGACCACACCATGATGTGTTAACAAGAGACACTGGCACAAGACCTTTGATCAGATTAATCAGGGATGGAATTACCCGGCACTACCAACTGAGATTAGCATTGGCTATAGAGGTTGGCAAGATGAATCTGGGAAATGCCAGACTTTGAATTCCGGTGACCTTCTGGTTTGTATTCATTTTCAGAATTGTATCTGCAGCATAAAAGGGGCTCTCAGAAGACCGGATGGGCTTCACAGTGAATGTGATGCTGTGAGTGTACAGTTCCCTCAGGCCAGAGTGCTTCTCTCCTCCTCCTCTACCACCAGTTGGTGGTACAGTGAGGCAGTGATGCTGTGATAATTTTACCCGACCCCAGGATCCTGGTTGTGTTCTGGAGGGTTGAAGTTGCCAGAAATCTGGCTAGGTCTTAAAAGGGATACATATTTTTTAAAACCCTAGCAAGTGGGGACTTCCCTGCTGGTTCAGCGGTTAAGACCCCACGCTTCCACTGCAGGGGATACAGGTTTGATCCCTGGTCAGGGAACTAATATCCCACCTGCCGAGTGATGTGGCAAAACAACAACAACAACAACAATAACAGCAACAAAAAAAAAAACCCCAAACTAGCCAGTATGGCCAGTCAACAGGCCCAAATATACACAGATTGAAATATATGTTGTTTTTTTTTTGCGGTAGGCAGGCCTCTCGCTGTTGTGGCCTCTCCCGTTGCGGAGCACAGGCTCCGGATGTGCAGGATCAGCGGCCATGGTTCACGGGCCCAGCCGCTCCGCAGCATGTGGGATCTTCCCGGACCGGGGCACGAACCCGCGTCCCCTGCGTCGGCAGGCGGACTCTCAACCACTGCGCCACCAGGGAAGCCCTGTAAGTATATTTTTGACCTTCTCGGCAGAGGCTAGTGGTCCAAGGCTGCTCCACTCATACACATTGTGGTGGCTTCCTTATCTGATAGTACAGATTTTATCATTGATGCTTCTGGAAAAAAAATGGCATTTCCCACCTCCCTTACCCACACACGTGGATCTTACAACTTCTTGTCAATTCCTTCTGTTACCGGTGCCTAACCTTAAACTACTTGTGGTGGGTACCGCAGGCATTAACCTATGGAAGAATAAACGATGTATCTAGGAGGCCATCTTTCTGGAAGATGTCTGTACTCAAGGACACTAGTTTTTCTGAATGTTTAGACGACAGCTCCTAAAATTCTATCAGTGCCAACAAAGTGGGGAGAGCTCAGAAACCGGAGGCTGTAACAGTGTGTCTCCAGCGGCTTCCACCTCCCTCCTCCCTCCCACCGTGGTCCCAGTCGTTTTTTTGTATGTGAACTCCCTCTGCCTGGGGGTGAATGTGCCCGCACGTGGAGCCCCAGCAAGATGTGCTCCAGGCCCCTGGGAACTTGCCTTGTGAAGGATGGTGGCAAATTAAACTAGCAACTGCAAAAAGTCAGAGCATTTCCAGGCCCTCTGCTGGGG